TCAGTTATAAACCCCTGCACCTTAATAGCTCCTGTGTTTCAGCAGCTTTTCTGCTCAAGTTCAAAACTTTCTGCACATGAAAAATCTCACCCACATATCTGTGTTCTCTGACATTTAGGTAGGCTGCTACCCCCTTTAGACCGTCTGACAGACAGAGTGCCGTCTAGGACTGTACTGGATGAGAGTAGCTCACTGCTCTTCATCAGAGGCAGAAAATCGAAACTTAAAACAGTAGTGATCAGACAGAAATATCACACACACAGATCCACACACATGTTCACTTCAGCCCCTCTGATAAGGTGCAGCTCACAGCCCGCTTCAGAGGGAATGAAGCATCCTGGAGCAGAGAGACAGTCAAACAGAGCAAAGTGTCTCTGAGGGAGGGGGACAGAGACAGCAAAGAGAGCGACCAACCCGGAATCATGCCAAAGCGTGTAATACTCACGCTGGTCCACTAGAGGATGCGTGTCATTATCAGGCTTTTCCTCCTCAAGGCTCGACAGTGACACGCATGCATGACGGTGGTGTACCAGCAGGGGACCAAAGAGAACTATGGGTCAAGTGTCTTGATAGATGTCACAGTGCAAATTAAACCCAGGTCTCCCATATCAAAGGCAAGCATCTTATCTATGTGCTATCACTACCCACAATGATGTCTTCCAGTGAAAATTTGTTGTTCAGTAGCAGTACTAAATTATTTCAATACAGAAAAATGTGTAGACTAGTGTAGCCTATGCTCAGAATGTTGAATTATTATTGGCACAGTCGTGCCTTGTATTACCAATCATTTCTTGATTGGTAATTGATTGAAACGACATTTCAATCAGTTCAGTTCAGTTATTGCAACTACCATTTTGTCCTGTCAGGTTACAGGTAAATACATATATTAAAAAATACAATGTAACATACAGTATTGGATATACTTAATACCTAACAGTATGATATACAGCACTACAGAAATTTGAGTCTAGTAAATGCTGAATGAGCAGACTACGCTGAATAAAACTTTATACTTTTAACGTATTGACTCCTTCCCCCACTCCAGTCTTTTAAGATTATTCTGTTAAACCTGCTTTATAAAACAGGGCCCTGGTGAGTCAGACTAGTGTAGTTGTGTTCTTTACCTTCATTGAAATAGAGTCTTCTTTGTCAGAGACAAGACAAATTAAAAACGCAGTCCAATTCTGAGACAAGACTAAGACCGTCAAAATTGGTGTTGGTGATCCAAAGTAATACAACATTAGCTGCAGTTGCTCTGAAATGTCTGCAATCACAATGTCAACAATAATGTTTTCCCTGTTGAAAAAATTTTACATTAGAGAATGTTCCTGTAGTTGAATGATTCTTAAGTTGTCACTGGAATGAATTGTTGCAACTCATAAGCTTGCATTTACGCTCTGATTCTTGGCTTTTATTTGGATTTTGTACTGTAAAAACATGTAATTATACATCATATAAAAAAAAACTAGAGGAGAAAATAAACTATAATACTTGAGAATGAAGTGTTGTGAAGTGACAAAGTCTTGAGTCTAGTGGTGTCTATTGATCCAGTTTTTACAGAAATGAGCTGTAGCGTCCAGCTTGGCTGTGACCTGAGTGGAAACACAGCAGCAGATCGCTGACACCAAGTGGTCCTTCATGTCCAAGTGAAATCTTTATCTGCAAGAAGGATGATAAGTCAGTGGGGGAAAAAAGTGGTGCTTATTGACCTTAAACACTGCATTACAGTAACTGTATTAAATTACAACTTTAATCTAGACTGTATTTGTCAGAGTCTGTGTCTTACACATATACAATGTTGTGGAGCAAGCACCCAGGACTTTCACTGACTTTATACTTGTGTTTACAGTGAAGTCAAAAATTTTATTTGATACATGACCATGTTTCCCTGTTGCTGTGTATTCTAGTTTATTAATACTTGGAGGGTTATGATGATTCCCAGATGGCAACAAAATGTACAAGCTTTTCTAAATCTGTCCCCTCTAGTTCCTTCGTCCTGTTTGACTTCAGGTGAGTAGTAATACAACACTGAACTACAGTGTTAGCTGTGGTGGTAAAACCTTTCCACATAAGACAATGTTATGTTAGTGACCCAATGCCATAGACTGCAAGTGACTAGCAGAATATCAGCTGAAGCAGCCAAAGTCACCACAACACCACAAGACGATTTCAGAGCATATATAGTAATATATTGCGGTTCTTTTTACACTGCACAAAAACCCTGCTTAACGTTACATCTTACAACAACCATCATGACATCGTCACTCATGCTGCCTTACTGTTTCCTATAATATATATATACACAGGTGTGATAATTAGAATATCATCAAAATGTTGATTTATTTCAGTAATTCCATTCAAAAAGTGAAACATGTATACTGTATACATTCATTCCACACAGACTGATATATTGGTGGATATAAGTGTTCATTCCTTTTAATTTTGATGATTATAACTGACAACTAGTGAAAACCCCAAAATCAGGATCTCAGAAAATTAGAATATTGTGAAAAGGTTCAATATTGAAGACACCTGGTGCCACACTCAAATCAGCTAATTAACTCAAAACACCTGCAAAGGCCTTTAAATGGTCTCTCAGTCTAGTTCTGCAGGCTACACAATCATGGGGAAGACTGCTGACTTGACAGCTGTCCAAAAGACGACCATTGACACCTTGCACAAGGAGGGCAAGACACAAAAGGTCATAGCTAAAGAGGCTGGCTGTTCATAGAGCTCTGTGTCCAAGCACATTAATAGAGAGGCGAAGGGAAGGAAAAGATGTGGTAGAAAAAAGTGTACAAGCAATAGGGATAACCGCACCCTGGAGAGGATTGTGAAACAAAACCCATTCAAAAATGTGGGGGAGATTCACAAAGAGTGGACTGCAGCTGGAGTCAGTGCTTCAAGAACCACCACGCACAGACGTATGCAAGACATGGGTTTCAGCTGTCGCATTCCTTGTGTCAAGCCACTCTTGAAAAAGACAGCGTCAGAAGCGTCTCGCCTGGGCTAAAGACAAAAAGGACTGGACTGCTGCTGAGTGGTCCAAAGTTATGTTCTCTGATGAAAGTAAATTTTGCATTTCCTTTGGAAATCAAGGTCCCAGAGTCTGGAGGAAGAGAGGAGAGGCACAGAATCCACGTTGCTTGAAGTCCGGTGTAAAGTTTCCACAGTCAGTGATGGTTTGGGGTGCCATGTCATCTGCTGGTGTTGTTCACTGTGTTTTCTGAGGTCCAAGGTCAACGCAGCCATCTACCAGGAAGTTTTAGAGCACTTCATGCTTCCTTCTGCTGACCAACTTTATGGAGATGTAGATTTCATTTTCCAACAGGACTTGGCACCTTCACACAGTGCCAAAGCTACCAGTACCTGGTTTAAGGACCATGGTATCCTGTTCTTAATTGGCCAGCAAACTGGCCTGACCTTAACCCTATGGAAAATCTATGGGGTATTATGAAGAGGAAGATGCGATACGCCAGACCCAACAATACAGAAGAGCTGAAGGCCACTATAAGAGCAACCTGGGCTCTCATAACACCTGAGCAGTGCCACAGACTGATCGACTCCATGCCACGCCGCATTGCTGCAGTAATTCAGGCAAAAGGAGCCCCAACTAAGTATTGAGTGCTGTACATGCTCATACTTTTCATGTTCATACTTTTCAGTTGGTCAACATGTCTAAAAATCCTTTTTTTTGTATTGGTCTAAGTAATGTTCTAATTTTGGAGATACTGAATTTGGTATTTTCATTAGTTGTCAGTTTTAATCATCACAATTAAATGAAATAAACATTTGAAATATATCAGTCTGTGTGTAATGAATGAATGAATATACTATCCAAGTTTCACTTTTTGAATGGAGTTACTGAAATAAATCAACTTTTTGATGATATTCTAATTGTATGACCAGCACCTGTATATATAGAGAGAGAGAAAGAGAGAGAGCAAAAAACAGAAACAGGCACATCTACTGGCAATGTGAAAGGAGTGTGCCAGTGGGGTTAACCGCAGTTTTTTTTAAAACCCAGCATATCCTGATATAACAATAGCCTACTAAAGCATGTTAGCAATACCAGCTAATATAACTAGTGGCTAAAGTTAGTATCTTACCTGCTGAACTGTCTGCTGCTTTCTCGTTAGACCAATAGCGCTTCTTTCACTGTTGACTTTGTGTGTGAAGCCACAGAAATGTTACGCCCTCATCAAGTTGAAGTTATCACATTATGAAGTACAGTCCTCCCTCCAGCCCTGCTCACTCGCTCTGTTTGGTTTAATTACACTGTGCTCCTTAGCACTGGGAGCTTTTTGCTCACAGGGATTTCTTTTAAATACTTTTCATTTCATTTTTTGAAACTTTTGCCATGTTTAACATGAACATCCAACATTATAACATTATAGATAAGTTGTAAAATGTGGAAAAGCATAATAGGTCTCCTTTAAGACTTCAGCCCAGCATTGTCCGTGAAATTTTTTTTGTTTGCCAGCAACATACTTAGCCATATTTTCGCGAACTGTCATTGAAGTTAATTTCCTTTTGTTTTGTTTGTTATCATCAGACAGTTTAAGTAACGCAACTTTGAATTCAGGGTCAACTAAGTTTCTATTCAGCTTTATTTCCATCAAGTTAACGTTAACCTCACTCCTCCCAACAAGTCGGAGGCCAGCCACGTCGGTTAGTTACACCAGCTGTATCACACAGAAGACATCAAACAACAAACCGAGCCAGGGTTAACTGTATCACTGCAAGAGTTTCTTCATCACAAGCCGAAGCGGGCGGACCCCCGGAATAATCCCTGACAGAGCCGAGTGACTGCCGTATAGCGTAACAAGCCACTGTGAATGTAACAACCAGCAGCCAGTTTAGCTTTAATCCTTTAGACCTTTAGTTGTAGCCAAATCGAACTTAGTTATGAGCATATAATTTGCGTTCCTTAGTTCTCTTACTCCCAAATTCTTTCCACAATAGACCAACTAAATTCACCACTCTGTTACTCTCATTGATTGCCTTCTGGTTGTTTAATCACTTGTATTCACTTTAGTTAGTTAATAAATTTCACCTTAATCACAGGAACTGTGTGTGTGTGTGTGTACTGTTTAAATCCAAGTCACTGGACGACTGGATGATATGAGACTGACCTATTGATTAAACTGACCAAAATGATAACTGATCACTAGTAAATAATTGTGTAATTATTAAAACCATACCTAAGGCGTCCTGAAGGCCTTAGGCGAACAGATATAATATTTCCGAATATTATTATTCATAATTTCATTAACAGTAAGTAGGTTTGCTACACCAACATCTTTCAAACTTGACGTCCCAAATTTGCAATTACAGTAATGACCCTTGAGTCATTTTGTCTTGAAAAAGCTTCTGCAGAGGCACAGAAGACATTAAATAATGCTGAGTAGTACTAATCATGACCAGTAAACTGGTCTTCATTTGTAAAATCAGTGGAGTGCCCCTTTAATCAACCACTTTATTTACTTATTTCAAGACAATGGACGGTATTATACTTCAGTCTTACATGAGAACCAGCTGTCTAAATCCAAAGAAGGCTAAATCATTTGACAGATTTATTCATAAAGAATGTATTGTCCTGTGATTCTTGCAACAATTCCTTCTCTCACATCCTGGAGGTGAACTCGACTCTCCTGACCAGGGACCTCCTCACCTCGGATACAGAACGACAACCTACACACACACACACACACACACACACAGTGGTTTAGGAAGAACTGTTTATAGATGGGTATTTTCACAATATAGCTATGGGGGGGTGGGGGGTGGGGGGGGGGTGTTACCTGACAGGGCCATAGCCAGTCTCAGCTCCTCTTTTATAAGTTCCAGAATCTCAGTTACTCCTTGTTCCCCCTGGACACACACACATGTAACATATTTGTTTAGTTTTGTGTCAGTGTTCTTCTAATTAAGGCTAATGAGACTGTAAATGAGTGTGGTGATTCACCTGACAGGCAAGTCCCCACAGCACCGGTCGGCCGATGAAGACAGCTTTTGCTCCAAGAGCTAAGGCCTTTAGGACATCTGTCCCTCGCCTCACTCCTCCGTCCATGTAGACCTCACAGCGACCCTGCACTGCCTTCACCACCTCTTCCAACATATCCAGCTACAGACAAAAACACATACACACACTTATTTTAAATTTAAAACATTCAAAACATTTTACTGCATTAATATAGCCATGGAAAGGCCCCACCTTTCAATAAATATATCTGTTTTGAGTCTCAAGGAGTGCGTTATTTGTTCCATCTGGTAAATTTCCCATAACTTTCAGTCTAAATATTGTATACTGGGGGAACAGGTTTTAACCACTTAATTGTGACGCATTTAAGTGCTGTTGGTAGCAACATTGTAAGGTATCTTTAAGCTCTTCCATCAATGCCAATCAGTATTAGATCTAGTAGTGCCACCTTTGGATCTGTCATGCCCGGTATGTGCACGATACGTGCTTCAGTATAGCATGATACGGCTGTGGCTCAGGAGGTAGAGCGGGTTGGCCGCTAATCTGAAGGTTAGTGGTTCAATCTCTGGCTCCCCCTGGTTGCGTGTCGAAGATACTGAACTGGCTGTTATCTTTTTTTTTTTTAAACGCTTAGACATACCCTTAGTAAAACCTTTCTAATATAATTTTCTGTGGTATTGCTATAAAATTTAAACTTGGACTAGGTAAGGCTTTATGCTGTGGCCCTAACGTGTTTTCCCGCTAATAAGTCCCACCAATAGCTGTCTGTATGCATGTTTAAGCAAACATTTTCATTCAGAAATAAAATAAATTATTACTCTTAGTGTTTTACAAGATGGTAAGAGGTTGCCTCAAACACCTCTTCCCAGAATTTTCTTAATTTAGGACATGTCCTAAATTCTTATTATAATTGTTATTATAATCATTAACATTACGATTGTTATCATTAACACTACTATAAATATCTGTACCATTTTTCATTTAGTCTATAGCAACATCACCTTTAATGTCTGTACCTCTGTGTGTGTATATTGTGTAGGCTGCCTCCCTCCCCTCTCTCTCTCCTTCCATCATCCCTCTCTTTTTCTCTCTGTTCGTCTCTTGCCCTCTCCCTCTCTCTCTCTCTCTCGCTCTCTTCAGGATGTAAAAACCTGGATGAGCTGTAATTATGTTAAACTCATAAAACTGAAGTCGTTGTACTTGGGCCCAAACACCTCAGAGAATCTTGAAGTCTTTGATCAGGGCATGTTCTTTAATTCTCACATTAAACAAACTTCAAGGACCGCCTTTTTTCACCTACGTAATATTGCAAAAATTAGGAACATCCTGTCTCAAAATGATGCGGAAAAACTATTCCATGCATTCATTACATCTAGGCTGGATTATGGCAACTGCTCAAGTCCATTAAGACTCAGACTACAGCTGATCCAGAATATCCTGCTGCTCACTTACAAAGCTCTTAATGATCAGGCACCATCTTATCTTAAAGAGCTCATAGTAATTTTAAGGATTTGTTGCCTGTGGTAATTTGTGTACAGTATTGTAGTAACAGTTGGTCCACGGTCTCATTATTGACATTTATAGGTGGACAAAGCCTTTTGCAGACTGTTTTCATATTTGGTTATTAGTCCCTGATTCATCTGTGTTGCCTTGTAATTTAGGGCTGACCCCTAATATCGAAGAAGCTATGAAAAAAAGAGGACTAGCTTTCTGTAGATGCCAGATTTAAGTCTATTGTAAATCTACAATTTGGCATAATTGTAGTATAAATTATATGCAAGGTTATATGTACAGTATGTCTTAACATCATCATATAAGATGGAAGATACTGTCTGATATGATATTATTTCATAAAGGAATATTACACACACACAACAAACACACACACAGACCGTGGCAGGAACTCCATCCAGTTGTCGAGCTCCGTGATTGGACACCAGGATCCCATCAACACCATAGTTCACAGCCTGGACAGCATCCTCACCTGACCGTACACACACACACACACACACAAACACTGCTGAACAAGTTCATCTTGAACCAGAAAAAGATCTGGTTAAGTATCAAAAACTGACTGCTGATACCTCTAAATTGGACATACAGTCCCCTCCAAAAGTATTGGAACGGTTAGGCAAATTCCTTTGTTTTTGTTGTTCACTGAAGACATCTGGGTTTAAGATCAAAAGATGAGTTCAGAATTTCAGCTTTTATTTCCTGGTATTCACATCTAGATGTGTTAAACAACTCAGGACATTTCACCGTTTGTATTAGACCACAGCATTCTTAGGTGAGCAATCTTAAAGTAAATAACATTTAATATTTGGTGGCATAACCCTTGCTTGCAATAACTGCCTCAAGCCTGCGACCCATCGACATCACCAAACTGTTGCATTCTTCATTTGTGATGCTATTCCAGGCTTTTACCGCAGCTTCTTTCAGTTCTTGTTTGTTTCGGGGTGTTTCTCCCTTCAGTCTCCTCGTAAGGAGGTGAAATGCAGCTCTGTTGGGTTAAGATCAGGTGATTGACTTGGCCAGTCTAAAACCTTCCACAGTCCTTTTTTGTTGGCAGTGTGCTTTGGCTCATTGTCCTGCTGCATGATAAACTTCCTCCCCATTAGTTTCAATGCATTTCTCCATAAATTGGCAGACAAAATGTTTCTGTCCACTTCTGAATTCTGCTGCTACCATCATCAGTTCCATCATCAATAAATATTAATGAGCCTGTTCCAGAAGCAGCCATGCACGCCCAAGCCATGACATTACCTCCACCATGCTTCACAGATGAGCTTGTATGCTTCGGATCATAAGCAGTGGTGTCACTTACTGATGTTTTGGGGGTTTTCTTCACAGCTCTCATGATATTTCTGTCATCAACTACTGTTGTTTTCCTTGGCTGACCTGTTGGACTACACCAGTAGTTTGTCCAAAGACTCTGCTCGATTTTCCTTCTTTTCTCAGCTTGACAGTGGCTTGCTTTTCTCCCATAGACAGCTCTCTGGTCTTCATGTTGGTTTATCCTCTTTAACAGGAAATGCAGTCTTTATAGGTTTGAACCAAGGATGAAAACTTAGACTAGTTTTAATGTTTGGACAATCAACCTAAAAAACAACACCTGGGCAACAAGAAACATCTGTCAGTCACATGTTCCAATAGTTTAGCTCACTTGAAAAATGGGTGGATTCAAACAAAGGGTGGTATGTCCTGAGTTTTTTAACACATCTAGATGTGAATACCATGAAATGAGAGCTGAAGTTCTGAACTCTTGTCTCATACTCATCTTTTGATCTTAAACCTAAATGTCTTCAGTGAACAACAAAAACAAAGGAATTTGCCTTACCTTTTGGAGGGGACTGTATGTGAGCAGCTACCTCAAGAACCCCTTCTATGCCATCTCACTTGGGTTCAGGATTGGGACAATGTGGGCAAAAACTTAACTTTTTGGAGAATCACATTAAAATCTGTTAAAAACAGTTTTACATAACTATCAGGACTATGATGAAATTGGGGCATAAGGTTTGTGCATACCACTCAGGACTCCTTTCACAATCACAGGTAGATGTGTGTGTTTTTTCAGCCAGGTGATGTCATCCCAACAGAGAGTTGGGTCTATTGCTTTTGCAACATAAACAGCCAAACCACTGTCATTGCCATAGTTTCCCTCAGAGAAAGCCAGGGAGTCTCCTGAGAAGTTAGACATGCTGGGGACACACAATACAAAAGCACACTAACACACACAATTTGGGAATTGATTACATTTTCCTCTGTTCTTGCTGTTGTGTTTGGTTCCTACCTCAGATGTGGAGGTAGTTTAAAGCGGTTGCGCATGTCGTCCCATCTCTTCCCCAAGTATGGAGTATCCACAGTAACAAAGATAGCCTTATAGCCCGCCTCCTCTGCCCGGTGGACCAATGATAGTGTCAGCTCTCTGTCTTTATAGATGTAAAGCTGCAGCCACAGGACACCCTTATGGCCCAGCATGGTTATCGATGCAGACATCACTTCCTCTATGGTGGAGGTGGCCCAGGAGCTCAGCATCATCCCTGTTCCCATTGCTCCACATGCTGGGTAGACACATAATGATACTGGTATTAATGGTGTTTTTGTAGTAGTTAAAGGCCTACGTGCAGAGAAATAATTTATAAATAACAGTCATAAGGTTGGAAAGATAATTAAGGGAATAAAAAGCTTCAGAGTAAAGGTGTTTCCTTTGATATTCATTGCTAAGGGACCTTTTCCCTCAGCGGCGACTGCCAAAAAGATATTCCCATTGGTTGTTGTTACCAAAACAGTGAACTGTGAGTTATGGGAAGAGGATAAAGGTTAGAGAGATGCAGCTGTGAAAGTGATATTGGGAACAGCGCTGTATACACAAGACAGGAAATGGAAGGTCGATTTGACATTGAAACCTATTCTTAAAAAAGAAAATACTAAAACAAAGACGGTTAGCTCCATGGTATAATACTGAAACTTGCAAATTAAAGCAAATATCGCGGAAACTTGAGAGGAATTGGCGTTCCACCAAAGTGGAATTTGGCAAGATAGTCTTAAAACTTATAGGAAGGCCCTCCGTAATGCTAGAGCAGCGTACTACTCGTCATTTATAGAGGAAAATAGGAACAACCTAAAGGTTCTTTTCAGCACTGTAGCCAGGCTGACAGAGAGTCACAGCTCTATTGAGCCAAGTATTCCCATAGCTCTCAGTAGTTACGATTTCATGAGCTTCTTTAATGATAAAATTCTAGCTATTAGAGACAAAATTCACCAAGACCTGCCCTCAACTGGCACCGACTTATCTCTTAACTCAGGAACCTTAGAAACAGCTGTAGAACCAGATACATGTTTAGACTGTTTTGCTTCCCTCAATCTTTACCAACTAACTTCAATAATTTCTTCATCTAAGCCATCAACCTGCCTCTTAGACCCCATCCCGACTAGGCTGCTTAAAGATGTTTTACCCTTAGTCAGCACCTCTATACTAGATATGATCAATCTATCTTTATCAACAGGCTATGTACCATAGTACTTTAAAGTAGCTGTAATTAAACCTCTTCTGAAAAAGCCCAAACTTGATCCGGATGTTTTAGCCAACTATAGACCTATATCTAACCTTCCATTTCTCTCTAAGGTTCTGGAGAAAGCAGTTGCTAAACAGCTGTGTGACTTTCTACAGAGCAATAGTTTATTTGAGGATTTTCAGTCAGGATTTAGAGCTCATCATAGCACAGAGACAGCACTGGTGAAAATTACTAACAACCTCCTTATTGCATCAGACAAAGGACTTGTCTCTGTACTGGTTTTATTAGATCTTAGTGGTGCATTTAATACCATTGACCATCAGATCCTATTGCAGAGACTGGAATATTTCATTGGCATTAAAGGAACCGCTCTAAGCTGGTTTAAGTCCTATTTATCAGATCGATTTCAGTTTGTACATGTTAACGATGAGTCCTCCATGCATGCCAAAGTTAGTCATGGAGTTCCTCAAGGATCTGTCCTCGGACCAATCCTCTTCACTTTATATATGCTTCTTTTAGGCAATATTATCAGGAAACATTCCATAAGCTTTCATTGTTATGCAGATGATACTCAGTTATATCTATCGATCAAGCCAGATGAAACTCATCAGTTAGCTAAACTTCAAATGTGCCTTCAGGATGTTAAAACCTGGATGACCTGTAATTTTCTCATGTTAAACTAAGATAAAACTGAAGTTATTGCTCTGGGGCCTAAGCACCTCCGTGACGCATTATCTAAAGATATAGTTTCCCTGGATGGCATCGCCCTGGCCTCCAGCACCACTGTGAGGAATCTCGGAGTTATCTTTGATCAGGACATGTCGTTTAAGTCTCACATTAAGCAAATTTCAAGGACCGCCTTTTTTCACCTACGTAATATTGCGAAAATCAGGAACATCCTGTCTAAAAATGATGCAGAAAAACTAGTCCATGCATTTGTTACTTCTAGGCTGGATTACTGCAATTCCTTATTATCAGGCTGCTCGAAAAAGTCCATTAAGACTCTTCAGCTGATCCAGAATGCTGCAGCACGTGTTCTGACAGGAACCAGGAAAAGAGATCACATTTCTCCTGTTTTAGCTTCTCTGCATTGGCTTCCAATAAAATCCAGAATAGAATTTAAAATCATTCTTCTTACCTACAAAGCTCTTAATGGTCAGGCACCATCTTATCTTAAAGAGCTCATAGTACCTTACTACCCCACCAGAGCACTGCGCTCCCAGAATGCAGGGTTACTTGTGGTTCCTAGAGTCTCTAAAAGTAGACTAGGAGCCAGAGCGTTCAGCTATCAAGCTCCTCTCCTGTGGAACTAGGTTCCAGTTTGGGTTCAGGAGGCAGACACCATCTCCACATTTAAGAGTAGGCTTAAGACTTTCCTCTTTGATAAAGCTTATAGTTAGGGCTGGCTCAGGTGAGTCCTGAACCATCCCTTAGTTATGCTGCTATAGGCCTAGACTGCCGGGGGATTTCCCATGATGCACTGAGCTCCTCTCTCCTCTACTTTCTCTCCCTCTGTATGCAACCTCATCCCATTATTGCATGTTACTAACACAACTTCTCCCCTTTCTGGTAGTCTTGTGCTTTCTCGTCTCTCTCCTCTCTCCTATCACTTCCTGCAGGTTTTCTGGCTCTGGAGCTGTGGAGTCTGGATCTGTGGTTGCGGGTCACCTGCTGCCCCCATGTTCCTGCTCGACACCCTCTGCTGCAACGACTATTGTTGCTAGTCTTATTGTTATTATTGTTATTATAATCATTAAAAGTACGATTGTTACCATTAACACTATTATAAATATCTGTACCATTTTTCATTAAGTCTATAGCAACATCACCTTCACTGTCTGTACCTCTGTGTGTATATTGTGTAGGCTGCCTCCCTGCCCTCGCTCTCTCCTAACATCCCTCTCTTTTTCTCTCTATTCCTCTCCTGCTCTCTCTCTCTATCTCTCTCTCTCTCTCTCTCTCTCCTTCACCCCCAACCGGTCGAGGCAGATGGCCGCCCACCCTGAGCCATGGTTCTGCTCGAGGTTTCTGCCTCTTAAAAGGAAGTTTTTCCTTGCCTCTGTCGCCTAGTGCTTGCTCTTGGTGGGAACTGTTGGGCTTCTGTAAATATCATCACAGAGTACGGTCTAGACCTGCTCTTTTATGAAAAGCGCTGTGAGATAACTGTTGTTGTGATTTGGCGCTATATAAATAAAATTGAATTGAAAAAAAAAATTGAATTGAATAAAACAAAGATAAGTGAATAAAGTGATAAATTCAGGAACACTCTGCACATGAGAGAACAGACTCGAGAGGAGTTGGGGAAAATGTAATCACAGTTATCATAAAATGTTATAAAAAGTGTGTATGTACCTATAGAATATTCCTGTTAAGAAAACAAACAAATTATACTGTTTCACCTTTGATTTCTTGTGAGAACCATGTTACTTTAAAAAAAGTTTAAAAAGGTTCATGTGTTTCAGAGGAAGAAAGAGGCTCTTCCTGGAAATGAGGGGTCACATACACAAGGGGATTTAGATTAACTAATTACTAATTGACTTGTTTTGTTGAACCTTAATATCCTGGAAAGTACCTAGAACATCAGAAATGTTTAGAGTTTAGAAATCGGCCATGTTGCCTACATGGCTGTAGATTTAGAGGTTTATATTTGAGAAACAAGGAGTGGCCGGTAGACTTGATTCCAGAGGAAGGAGGGAATAGGTCTCCGACAAAAGGGGTCAGTTATCTCTCTTTAATCATTTGGATTAAGAATTGAATCATTTAATACCAATGTAATGTTAAATTTAATGTCCAATGATTCTAGTAGGCTAATCTGAGTAAATGTGAGGTCTTTGAGTAATCTTTAGGATTTTTGTCTAGGTTCTGAATAGGAGGATAAAACCCTCAATTTAGAGGGTAAAATAACAAAGCTGATCTAAACTACACTTCTATTTTTCCATTCTATTTTTATTATTTTCTTTAATTATAACTTTATATTAATTGTCATTTTCATATATTTTGTACTTTTTGTATGTTAATAAATTATTGAAAAATTAAGATACAGACTAATGATTTTGTGCCTCTTGTTTATTACATGAGGGAAACTCGGCCAAGAAAAAGGAACCACAGCGTCAAACTACCAGCTAATATGGAGCGATGCAGCAGCCAGCCCCCTTGCCGCCAAGGGGCAGTGCTGTTTATTTTATTTTTTTTGATCAAGGTCTCTTTTATTTTCAAATATAACAAACAGAGAAATACAATTCATGCATGAAATAGACAAACCTAGTTCCTGTCAGACAGACAAACAAACCAACTGCCCAATACCCCCCACCCACAAGTATTGGACCACCAGCAAATTTCCATACATCCCGACATATTCAAATATGACTCTGCAGATTCATACATATATAATTTAAAATATCTAGGTAAAAAAAGAGAAAAAGACAGCATCAATAAAAAAAAAACAAAAAAAAACCACAGGTGTGCACACACAATTGGGTTACATAGATATGTTAGTAGCTGCTGTGCATTCTACAAAGGACATAAATGGCTGCCAAATGACATAAAATTTACTTACAGTGTATCTAATTTTTTACAGGTGAACATAACTCATGACCTCCCTAATCCATTGGCCATATGTTGGGGGGAAAGTATCTTTCCATTTAAACAGGATAAGCCTCCTAGCCAACAAAGAGCAGAAGGCCATCATGTTCAGGTGGCACCCAGAAAAAGTGGCATCCAACAGAGCCACGCAAATAATAATCCTTGCTAAGTTAGTAGTGGCGTTTGAGTAGTTATGTTACCATGTTGTTGCTATCTGTTGTTGATATTATTGCTGAAATGAATCTAAATAAGTTACTTTTGCAGTGTTTTTATTTTCAGCAAGGTTAAGGACACTCCTTCATCTTATGTGTAACCAATGCTTGTTTGCAATACTTTCTCACACAGTTCCTTTAGAAATGATGATAAATGTCATACTACACGCTATTAATTGCCAGCTTGAATTTAAGGCTAAATAACTAAATTTTCCAGCTCCTGAGAAGATTGTTTTTGGATTAATCTAAGCT